TTTCCCTATTTGACATGGTCAAATATGAATCTCTCTCACTCTCCTGCGTGTGAAAGACAGATTAGTAAAGTAGGTATAAGCTACATCCTCTAGGAGGAGTAAGGAGATTGAGTATTTAAAGCACATTTCATTTTCCAAGAACTTTGCAAGTGCATTCTAAATTGCTCTAACTCCTTATACTAGCTTCTTTTTACCCAATACATAAGCAGAGGCACACATGACATGGAAAGCAAGCAGTGATCTGCTGTCCAAATTTAAGGTCTTTGCCATCTTAAGCATGCCACCAGCTGCTAGGAGGTAAATCAGTCTCATTGATACTGGGTTTAGGAGTCAGCTGGAATTGAGCACCAGCGTGCTTTGGAAATGGGGTGACATTATGGCATTGTCAACAAGAAAACAGCAGCAATGAAGCTGCCTTGCACATGATGTGCTGAACCCCTGGAAATGGAGTTCTCACAGCTGGACTGTTTGCAAAAGGGAGATGGTTTAAGACAATGCATATCGCTTACCTTGCATGAGGAACAGAGCTGTGATGTGCAGCACGCCGGTGAAAGTCATGCTGTGGTGTAGGCTGACTTCCTCTCTGTGACGGTGCTGCAGTGTGCAGCAGGTCCCTTTTCAGCATGGGGGGAGCAGATTTACCATGACTTCATCACTGCCAGGGTCTCTACCTCCTTTGCTTCTCTCTTCTGTTCCACTCTCTTCTCTCCCATCCCACGTTTCCTATATGTTGGCGACTGCTGAGAACTTAGTGAGCTCATGGGTCCCTAAATTTAAACTAGTGGTGACAGTACTAGGGGTGCTTCACATTGCACGCCCTCCAGCTCTGTGTTGCTCAACATCCATGCAGGGGACAGAGGGAGTGGTGTTTATGGGGGAGAAGCAGATAAAGGTTAAGAGAAACATGGGCCTGTGCACCTATGGGTGCACTGTGTGCAGGGTTTAATTCTGAGGATGGCAGAGCTTATTTGGTGGACGCTGCTGTAGTGCAGTGGCTGCTTGAAGACCTTTCTGTGCAGTTTAAATCTCTGGAACGAGAGTTGTGCATCACTCTGCATCTTGTACCGCCACACGCATGTGAGGTTTGCTTTGCCCTGCTTACAGGGACCCTGGCAAAACAAACAATAAGAGAAAGATAATCATCTATGTGTGGTTTGCGGCTCTCCAGGGAATGAAGAGTGTTGGTGAGGTGGTTGTGAAAGGTTCACTGAGCACTGAAGCATGGGGAGGAGGGATGACTACATCGGGGACGTCCCAGGGGACCTGTAGCAGAATCTGGGTTTCCTGTGTCCCCTTGCAGGTCTGATTATAGGGATGTAGAAAAGCCTTTTGTGTCTCTTGGTATGTGATGTCCAATAACATCACAAGATTCATTCAAGTCTATTGCAGGCAGAGCCTTGTTTCATGATGTAGCCACATGTGGCTGATTTTCAGAAAGGCTCTGGCATATCCTCTGCTAGCACTTCTCTGCAACTGCCCAACAAGTAGTGCAAATGACTGATACTGTCAAAATGAGCTGGCTTTAATAAGCTGACAAATATGGTTTTAAAGAATTTATTAGAACCTGTTTCCATTGAACTTTCAAATGCACAGAAGTGTGTAATTCTACTAGCATATATTTTATTGATAATAGCTGTGGCTTTTATGATAATGATAATCAGGTTTATGGGAAAACAGAGCTCTAGGCCGTAAAATTTAATGTTCAGCTGTGGTTTGAAATGAAAGAGTCTCCCTGGCTGATAAAACTCCTGCTGGACTTAAAGAATTCATATCACAAAAGAAGATATGTGTTGTAAGGTAAGCACTGCTTTGGTTTAAAAGGTGTGCTGCTAGTTCCACACGTCTAAACCTGACAGTAAATTAACTCCGGGGAAAACAGCCATCAAGCAGCAGCAACGCTAACATTGCACCTTCCAACCCAGAGGGAAAACCAGACTTGAGATGGTTTTGTGCCATCTGCTGACGAATAAATGAAGTTCATCTTCAGTGAAGGGAAATAAGATCCAGCTCAAATTCTCCCTTCTCCTTGATGTTTCTGAGGCATACACCCCATCCAAGTGGGCATCCCAAAGTGGCATGTGCTGAGGGCAGCATTGCAACCCAAACTGAGAAGCAGCCCTGACTCCTGTTTGGTTTCTAGGTCCCAGTGCAGTTCTTCTCTAGAGGTATGCCCAGTACAGGCGTTTTTCCTACCTACATCTTGCTGGGGCCACTGAAAATACATCTCTGAAAGAGGGTCTTTGTCAGAATATTCACTCTGACAAAGTCCAACAGGCTTGAGAGGAACATTTAAATAGGAAGAGCAACGTGTGGGTGCTCGGCATCTTTGTTAAATCATCCATGAGACACTTCAGTCCGACTTCAGAGAAATCCATTTAATGTCATAAGCAAATTAAAATGCAGTGGTTGTTTTAACAGTTGTTAGCACTCAAAACTGAGATTTAAAAACAACCAACCCCCTCCCCCAAAATAAAAAAATACAGATGTCACAGGTAATTACAGCAATTTTTGGCAATACAATTATTGTCTTTTTAAACAGCAAACATTTTTTTTTGTCAAATAAATACAATCTGCTCACACTAAAAAACATAATAAACAGAATGATACAACAGGTTTAAAATGGAGAAAAAAAGTATCCATTGATAACATCAAGTTTGAAGAGATGTCCACAGAGAGAAACTGCAGAAAATACATCTTAATGGGAAGTAATTTTGTGTTATGTAGCATGGGTGGTTTGTGAATATTCCTCAGGGAACAAGTGCATGAGGAAGTGGTGAGAAGTAAGTAGAGTAATTTAGAGTGTATGTAGCCAATCACATCTACTGCTTTTGTGTTGTTCATTCATTCACTGTTTCAAGCACATCTGCTACCACCATCATTTCATGTATAGTTTTCAAGTTCAAATAATTTCCTCTATGCTTAGGCCTTTTTAAAAAACGAAGGACAAAACCAAACCTTTTAAGGTGTCCTTTCTAAACAGTAGTTTTCATAGAGAATTTCAGTACATCTTAAGTTGTGAAGCATCACAAACTAACTTCCAGCTCCGGGTTTGAATTGGGGTTAGTCAATTACAGCTGAACTCAAATACCTAGTGTCCTTCTCTTTGAAATGAACATGAGTATAACCAGACACTAAATCTCACCCTGCTTCTGCACGTGTATCTTAAATCAGAACTGGAAAGGCTCAACCCTGCTTATGAGTCCTCCAAACCCCTCATTCAGTCAGTGGCAGGTTGGTGGGAAGCAGCTTGTGATAGGACCAGGCTTTGCACAGCTTCATCCCAAGCTTGAGGAAGTCATAAGAAATCTTCCTCTCTGTTTCCCTGGGCTCTGGATTACGGATCAGGCATTTGTAAGGACCCAGAAGGAAGAGTCTGCAACCCCTCACATCCAGTGCAGTGAACAGAAGCTAAGTAAAGAGGCTCTTTGTCACAGTGCTGTACACAACCACCTCCCCAACCTTTGACTGTTCATCCAAGAGCCGTAGTTAGTGCACAGTCGAAGACTATGGTACCCACATCCCTGAGATATTGCTACCTGGGGGGCTAAGGGCTGCAGATTGAGAAGAATATGCTTGGAAATAGTGCTTTAGCACCACTTCTACACTCTGTTTTGCAGAATTATCACTTGCTTTGCCCTCACTAAAAATAATTCCTGCAGAATTCCTGTAAACAACCACTTGTTTGTAAATTGTCACTTTCATAATAACGTTGGCACTAGAAGCTAACACCAGAGGAGAGGAGGAGGCTCCTACCATCACCTGACTTCAGTCTGAGTGAAAAAGGAACTATGAGTTTTGTGAAGTTATGGCCTGGGTCCTCAGTTTGCATAAAGCAGCAAAGCTCTGTTGGTTTGAGTGTAGTGTGAATATACCCCCATGAAGAGCCTGGCTCTACACTCAGAGGATTTAAGTATTTGGCTGTCACTGCCACTGCATTAAATGTAAGGGAAGTACATGAAACTTTGGATGTGGCATCTGCATTAAGGTATCCCCAGGCAGATCTCAAGCCTTGTGAGATCAAACCTGATGTATTTTAAACACTGGTTTTGACCTTCTGGTGCTGAGTATCATCCTGTCGGCTGCTCCTGTGCTACAACTGGATTCTGCACTTTGGTGGTTCTGTTTTTCTAGCCCAACCCTTAAGTTGCAGTATATGAAAATACTGGATGAGCAGCTTCAAGTTTTTGTTCCTTACTTGGGAAGTAAGGGGAAAATCCAGGAACTATTTGCCTCCTATACCCTAATTAAACTGTTGGGATCTGATGCAGCTCACAGTGAAGGCAAGGAAAAGACTTGCACATGCTTTAGATAGATCAAGGCTAATGTTCTGGGACAAAACACTGAAGTGACATTAAATACACATTAATGAGCAGCAATGGAGTGAAAGTGAAGCAGCAATTGTTTTGTATTCTTAAAATCTTGATTAAAAATGAAAAAGGAACATCTTTTTCTTTTCCCCCAAAAAACTGTATCGACATGAGACTATTCAACACAATACTCCTGTGAGAGATCAATATGCTACAAGAAAATAAGACTTCTTCTGAGATTCTTGACACCTGAAAAATCTAATTTGAGATAATACTACAACTGTCAAAATACTTTCGAACATCCAAAAATATATATATATTTTAAGAAGAGAGTATTTTAACATCTACCTTCTCAAACGGAACACTCTTTTCTACATTACTTGCTATATGCAAAGATCAGCTAGTACAATATTCAAATTGTGCATTCAGGTTATGTTCCCTCTCTGTTTCATGCTTCTGTCTAAATAAACTCCTTGTAATGTTGCTTAACTGCAGCAGGACCTAAGCAGCCTCCACTGTTTCGTATAGGCAATATCTGTTGCCTCAAATAACATCTTCCTGGCCCATAGCATGAAACAAAAAGCAGTACAGAGGATTACACATGCATCAATAACCAAATTAGTTTTGGTGTGATTGTCATCACTACTACTTAGTTTTACACCCTTTGCAAATTTGCAGTGAGTAAGCATGGAGGAAAGCAAGCCAGAAAGGCTCCTCAGAATGTCTATACACAGCCAAAAATAGTTTAAATTGCAGTTAAGAACTAAAGTGACAGCAGTGTAACTGCACGGGAGCAGTTTCTTCTGTCATTTGATAAGTTATCTCCCTGACTTTTCAGTATACATCCCTGGTATAATAATGCACTTACGAATGGCCTACTGCATGTTACATAGTCATAAATGTATAAATAATGGATTATTGTTGTGGCTTGTGGCAATGTACATATTGCACAGGATGAGTACTCAGCTGACTCAGAATCTGGTGTCCTCTCCCTGGCAGGCTCAAATAAAACCCAAAGACAAAGCTCAGCTAAACCCTCTTCAGAACTGTTACATTGCAATTGCTGAGGGTTTTGCCTCATTGAAGAAGGAATTGCAGTCTATCACTCCCTATTTGTTCTGACTGCTGCAAGTGCAGCTCAGTCATACCCTAGTGAAGCAACACAAAACAAGCTTTCATTTTGCTATGAGTAATAAGCTGTTGCCAGAGTTGGCCAGTATAAACTTCTGTGCCCCACAAACCTTTCAAATGGGGAACCTAATATTTTCTGCAATGGAAAAGCTGGACAAAAGAAAGTTCATAGGATGGCAGAATTTCTTTCCTGGTACTTCTGAACTTGCCTTTGATGCTATTTATGGGAATATTCAGGCTTATGGCCCAAATAAAGCAAGCAGTATGCCTAAATCTCTTTCATCCCATTTAAGCACGCTTTTAAGTACCTTCTGAAAGCGAGTCTACACTGATAAGACCTGCAGAAATGTCTGCAGGAACTTTCTGACCCAAGGCTGATGACTTAATATTAAAGAAACCTGCTTTGAAGCTAGTTTATACTCTTAGCTACCCATTGTGGTGTTATTTTGTGTCCTCGTTTGAAGCAGCTGGTATTGGTATCTTGCAGGCTGTTGTAGTAGGAGGGCACTTCTTGTGATTGCAAAGATTTTAGGTATTTCCCTTCTCCCCAAATCCTAACCCTTGCCCTACTACGTAATCAGCATGTTAATAGGCTAAAGCACGTTGTTCCTAAATTTAAGGGTACTGTGGTTTCAGCTCTGCTTTGTCTTAATGATGGGTAGCACTTAGGAATTAAGGAAAAGAAACCAAAGTATGCAGCAGAGGCTGAATTTCAGCATCTTTCTGACTTCATCATTACCTCCTGAAGAAAGCTGCTTACTGCAGAATCTCACCGAGGCTGACAGAAAAGCTCACAAGGGACAGAAAGCCACCATTATGTAAATGACCAGCACAAAATCTCAGTATAAAAGGGAAAACCCTTTTCCATGGTCTTCTGAAGGGAATTTAAATGATGCAAACACTTAGGGTGGCTCTCTGTGCACAAGGGTGGATTTGAATAACCTAAATAATAAGAGAAAAACCCCAATAACAACTATCCAGATCCTTCAGGTTTGGTTGGAAAAGGCTTATTTCATCTCCACTTAAAAGAGACTGCTCCCAGTCTTGGTTCACAACGGCGCTGTCTTTTCATGTGCCAACTTCATCTGTAACTGATGTGAAATCCTGAATTCTCTTCTGATGTAGATCAGCATCAATTCATCCTTACATCCACAGTATGCCCAACACAACACCTAACACAGTGCTCAAACAGAGGAGAGGAATAATCTGATGCTGCCTGCAAAGGCAATGCTGGACTCTCATTTCCAGCTGGTGGTGATACGCTTTATGGAAGGTGCTGAGAATCTGGGGGTTAGGAGTGAGGGGGGGGTCAACATATCACCCTGAATAAGCCTGCTAATGCTCTGCAAAAATAGTAGTGAAATAAACCCCCAGCATCCTGAATGCTCAACTTTTACACAGTGCTAGTTATTTCTAACGTGGTGCAGAAGGCAGTGATAGTTACTGGTATTATTAGAGCTCCATTCAAGGTGGGAAAATCTACCTGAGCTACTGACTAAACAGAGACTCCCTGATGTGCAAGATCTTCAATCTGTACTTGAATACTTTTTTTTCCCCTCAGATCACTCCCTTTTGTATTTGCCTAGTTGTATATGAGAATTCTTGCATGACTGGCTGTGTGGGATATGTTATAACAGCTGTTTGTGTGATCCACTGAACATATTATGACTGGTTTTTCCCCACTTTGTCAATAAACAGAAGAAAGAAGAGACATCCTCCAATGCTTAGAAAGGTGACAGGTTTTCCTTGCTCATGTAGCTTTTCCTATTCTTGTAGTAAGGTTTCTCTCCAGTTAAAGCCTCCAGTTGGTCCGTGTGTGAGAGGGAGGATGGGGGGGTCCGTAAGCTGCCAAATACCAGTATCTCCCAGTTCTTCGCAGGAACAAAACCCCAAGTATGGAATCTGTGTGAAGAGAGATGGAAATAAAGGCATTGAGCAGGGATAAATCTGGGCAAGGAGGCAGCTTCCCTAACTGCTGATGTCCTGCTGTGCTACTGAAGCGTTTCATTGCCTCCTCTCCCTTTCCCTTTCCCCAAAGCCTATTGCAGAAGATAATTGTAGGACTTGGGTGTGCCAGCTAGACTTTGTGCGCTACTGTGTGTGCAAAACACTGGGAAAAACAGATTATGCCCTTGTAACATAGTTTAAATATGGGCCAGTTAAAACCAAAGATGTCCTGTTGGCTGACATGGTTCAAAGCCCTGAAGGCCAGGACAGTTATGGGGGAGAAATATGGATATATGGAAATAAGGAGAAAATGCGATTTCCTTAGCCAGGGCTGGAGTAAAGGAATGAAGGCAGAAGACCTCGTTATAATTTTCAGTCCTTTTCTCTGGTGGTTAACAGCTCTTTAGAGCACAATGGGAAGGGGAAGTGTTGTAGGGCAGAAGTGCCCTGTTAACTGTGGTTAGAGTGTTTTCGGCACTGGAGGGCACTGTGGGAGTCTCTGTGCAGCACCCGGTGTCTACAACCAGAAAGCAGAGTCACTGTAAGCCCATTTGTAGGTGGGCATCTGATCCCGTGCTATCTGTCACAGAAGTGACAGGTTACGATAAGCCTCTTAAACCAATCTGCTTTACTCTCCTGGCTTCTGCAATGGACGAAGCTCAGTAACGGGTGGCACAATCAGATGAGGGGAACAAAGTGTCCTCTGCCTGCTTAAGCAGATTGCAAATGTCTTTTCTCATTGTAAAGCCAGGAAGCTTTACTCCTTGGTGGTAATTACCTTTCGGACCATCTGTACAAAGTCCTTGGAGTTCTGCGGCGAGAGCCCTTGGAGCTGGCAGGTACAAGCCTCCAGGGAGGACGCATGTGCCACTATCAGGATGTTATTTCCTGAAATAGAGTGAGAAACGCAGGCTGAGGAGGGAGAAGAAGCCAGCTTTGTTGGGACTGGTGCCCAAGATCAAGCAGACCATTTAAAATGCTTAAAACTGGTTCAGATTATCATATCAGAGCAATTAAACTGTGTGTAATAGGAGAAAAAAAGCTTGATTTATTAACATACTTAAAGCATTTCTCAGTTTTCAGGATAATGGTTAACTCAGTGCTACTTAGCTTTAAAAAGGTTTTCAGAAGAAAACAAGAATTCCAGTGAGATTTCAGCTGTCCTGTGAGGCAAATGCTTTTCTCCTCCCCCAAAATGAATTGTGATTAAGACAAGCACTTTAATTTCAGTTGCTGGTTATCCACAGCAACAGCGTTAGCTTTCCATTTCCAGGATCCTTTACAAGCAATGCCACGCTGTGTTATCAAGGTCTGTGAGCAAGCTATTGAAAGCTTATAAAGTAGAGACAGATCAGTGAAATGACAGTAGTGGAATCACCAGAACTTAGAAACATCCTCTTCCTTATTGTGAATGAAAAATAAAAGCTAAGGGTTTTTTTAGTGCAAGAAATGCTCTATAGTATTAATGGGTAATGTATTTCAGAGCTCAGAGAGGGCATGGATTATGCCTGATCTGATGCTGTTAACAGATAGTGGAGTGCAAATGGCTTATTTGTTGCCTTGAGACAGATAGCTTGCACTGAGTAGGGATCCCTAAAATACTTCTGCTGCTTAACTTTATGGACCTTTCTCGTAAGCTGAGCACATCTGGACTCACAGTTCTATCACATACAGGAGTTTCCAATGTTTCTGGGAGAGGATGAGAGATTCAGGTATGGGGATCACCTCCTCAAGGAGCGAAAGACTGGTCAGGAATACTGGCATTCACATCCCAAAGAGCCTGTCTTGGTTTTCACCCCATCGGTAGCACTCACCTTTGCCTTTACATTCACTGATGATTTCTTTTGTTACTTGGTAGCTTCTACTTATGTATGTATCATAAGATTCGGAAACCACTAACTTGCTGACAGGAATATGAGGTCTGTGAGCAGAAAAACAAGTACAGTAAATTGGAAGAAGTGATCAACTTCTAAGTGCAAGCTATGATTCATCCAAAAGTATCTGTTTCTTTAAGGTCACTAAATCTCCAGAACTGAGTTCATGTCAGGACCACTGTGATGACTGTTAAACTTCAAGATTGAGATGTGTACCTTTCCTCTGCATAAAGATACTTCAATTAGCTGGGAAAAATAACTGCTTCCTTTACTGTGCACCAGTTAGCGGAGGCAGCATAGGGCATGGTGATTATACTTGCATTACTTCTGCAATGGCTCTGCTTAGAGGGTGGGCTGATAACATCTGTGTCTGCTTGAGGAGCCTGGGCCGGTACAGGGGGAAACACAGAGCAGGGGGAAGGCAGAGGCTGGCTCTCTTCACTGCTTATGCTTTGATGGTGAAGGGCAGAGGCAAACTGCTGCTTTGGCCATCTGTAGAGCTGCATTACTGGGAAATGCCTGGAATTAGCCAGCCTCCTCCTGGGCCAGGGAGGTTCAGTGCATTGCCTAGCAATTATATCAGCTGGAGTAGGTTGATGTGCACAGAAAAGCAAGGAATAGGAAGCAGAAGGCTGTATTTTCCTGCTGTGGTAGAAGGAAAAGACCGAACTTTTCCCTCCATCCAGTGATCTGACATTGATCTACAGGAATTACCCTGTCTAAGAGGAGACAGAGAGCACCAGGAACACTGTCTCCCAGTCCCCCACCTAAGCAGCTGGCCACACAAGAGCTGCCTCTTTTTGTGTGCTGAGAATATTCATTATGGGTTTCCCGGAAGGCATGTATTTTCTGAAACAGAGGCTCCTGTGGTCCAGCTGCTCTGCTGAGTGTTAGCCACATGATACCCTTTCAGGGATAAATACAGTGTAAGGACTTCTATTTAGATACCCTCATAGCGCTGGAATTCTAGCTGCAGACTGGAAGGACACAATGCAAGTGGTTTATGCTATAATTAGGTATGGATAAAAACCCATATTTTTTTTTCTTTACATTTTATTCTGGGAGCCTCAGCAGCTTCCAGTCACTGCTTCAATTTCAAGAGTGCTATTCTTCAAAAACAAAGTCCAAAAGCAATGCAAGACCCTCTCACCCCCCTTTCTGCTACCTGTAGGTTGTATCAACGCTTAGAGTAGCTGCAGCTAAATCCATGGGGGGTATCCAGGCAGGTAGTGTGTTCCCAGAGACCCACTTGGTCCATTCAAACAAGCCTGGCTCTATTCGAATTTTCAGGTTGTTCTCTTGTTGCATACCTAGGAAAGCGAGAAAGGAGACCGGCTATCTATGAAAGCAGCAAGACTTTGCAGCTTTAATACTCCAGTTTGATTGTAAATTAATTTCCTTTCCTCTCTAAGTAGTCAGTTGATTAATAGTACATATGAAAGATGAAGTATTTAATATACGTACTTGGCATATGATATGCCAGGGAACATAAACCTCTGGACAGCAGCTATATGCAATATATTGACTGTATTTTGGAGCTGGTTTTCAACTGTTTCCAGTGCCAGGTCGTCTCATAGGGAATCACTATTTCCCTTCCCAGTTTCTGCAGTAAATTATTCTTACTGTGGGTAGCACGTTTCTTAAAGGTAGCAATTGCTGTGAGAGCATGAAGCAATGAGCCCATCAGGAGCATGAGTAGGCAAGGGCACAATAAACCCAACCTTGACCACTTGCTTAAGCACTTATCACACCATGCAGTTAGAAAAGGGTTCCTTATGGGCAGTGTTACGCTGGTGTAAACTATACTCCCATGGAAATAATCCTCACCCTGAATTACCATTGACTTCAGTCTCCCATGCCAGGCTCCCTTTTATATTTGGCAGTGTTTTTCCCCAGAAAGCTGGGAGAATGCAGCCTTTCCTGCTCGCTGGGTTCTTACCTTTCAGGATATTGTGTGCTGTCTGTACACATCGTAAGGATGGGGAGCTGTAGATGTAGTCTACAATGGTATTAGTTTCTAGCAAGGCTTCACCTGCAAGCAAGTTTCAACAACCGTGAATAAAAGCAAACAAACAGCATCCTAACAGCAGCATGCAGAGTGTGTGCCTCAGCTTCCCAGCTGCACTGCTTGTGCTTTGGGAAATATGTGTACCCATCACATTTTATTTCAGTGGTGTGTTGGGCACTGTGATGTGCACAGCTGTGGAACCAGCATTCATTTTTCTGTGTGTGTTGTAACTGGTATGCAAAGAAATCACAGCAGCTTTTGCACAGTTTCTGCTTCTCTTGCATTTAGCCAGAAAGCAAATGGTGTGGTGAGAAAAACTGTAGAGAGCTTGAATTTAATTTCATTTCATTTAGAAGCTGTAAATCAGAATGATTCAAATTAACTCAAACCCAACTTAATTCAATTGGCTGGATTCTTTGCTAGTATAAATTACCATTTCATTACACAGGTGGAAGATCACTGAAAATGAGATAAGAATCAACTCCACTATTGGGGTTATTAATATTCTTGCAGTGGCTAAGGGAACCAAATGAGAATAGGAACCTGCTCAGCACTGCACAGACTTGTAGTAAGAAGGAGTTATGTTTTTATTATATTAGAAAAGGCAGGACAAAGAAGTGGGAGCAAGAAGGGGTTGTTAACCTTGACTTCGTATGTTTAACGACGGCTGTAACCATGTCAAACCGATCCATAAATCTCTTGAGAGAAGTGGGGTAATTTAGGAGGAGAGGCACATCTAACAGCCCTCCGTCACGGGGAAGCTGCTCATTTGCTTTAGTCATCAGAGGAATTATGGCTCCTGCAACCCTCAAGGTCGACTCTGTGCCACTGCAGTGGTTGCCTGCAGATGGCTGGCACGCAGGTCGATGGTGCCTGGGTCACGTATGCAGTTACATACTTGGACCCATTTAATGATACCAGCAAAATGTGCTGTGATTGCTCCCAGATTCGCCTTCTGTTACATGCAGACTGTGAACCCTGATGCCGTGTGGCCGGGAGTCTGAGCATCCTGCTGTTGTACAGTGATTTATTTCTGTTTAAAAAGCAAGTATAATTTTAGCTGCCCTAGTTTCAATGTGACCAACACCAAGTACTATAAAGGATTTGAATCTGAGGAAATGCTAAGTCCTGCTCTCTGAAGTTCATGTCTCCCTTAATCACAATGCTCAGTATGTGCTCTTTGACTACCAAATGTTTTTCTACCTGTACACAAACCAACAGGCTCAGAAACTGGGGACAAGGACGGTGGGGTGGGAGAACACTGGAAATAATTTGGACTGTGTTTTTGCCATTTAAACATAAAGCCAGGCTGATAAAAGTATATTGGTGTAGAAAACTGCAGGTCAAAACTCAGGCTTTTCAAAGTCAAGGAAAAAGCCTATTTTGCATGAGGTGACTGTCACACTGCTGCATTTCTCACTTGCATTGGTAAAAACAGCATCTTCCACGGTGGCACGTTTACAGGGCGGTAGCGAGTGCTCTGCAACTGCACTGCTGATGGCTCTGATTTCATACCCTGTCCCAGATTTTGTGCTTTGGTTTTATTTCAGCTGCAGCAGCTGAGGGAGACAAGGTTCCCTTTGATGAAACAGGGGGCTTGCTGGGGAAGATGAAGGAACATTGCGAAGGTTCTTGACAAATCTAAACCCCGTAAGCTCAGGGTATTCGCTTTATTGCTGCCTTGCACTTCCTCTATTCGGTGGATGGGTGTGAGGGAGGATGATAGCAAAGCTTCCTGGGCAAGCTCTTGTCTGCTGAGGACAACTTACCAACAAGCCTTGCCTGCGTACAGCCCAGCACGGTGATGGGTGCATCTTTCTCATAGTCCCTGAACCCGCCGCTCCTTTGAGGTAAACTGTGGGGCATGTTCAGGTTACTGCGCATGTACCTTCCTGTGCGGGAAAGGTTAGAGGCAGTTGCTGGAATTAACTTGATCAGAGAGAAGCAGAGAGCATCACGCCTATTTCTACTCTCACCACAACATCTGCCCCTCATAGGTCCTGCCTAGACCTGGCTATGGAGCAGTTATTTTCATGTAAAGCTACGAGGAATCTGACAAAGTGAAGTTAAGCAGCTGTATCGGTTCAAAGTCAAGCAGAGAATGTGGCTAGTGTCTGTAAAGTTATCTTTAGATTTCCCTGAAGGAAAATAATCTCTATCCCACAACAAAAGAAACCTCAAATGTTACACTTGTACAGGAGGCTAAAATGTCAGAGCTCTTCAAACGTAATTTAGAAAGAGGGTAGCTCTAAAATCATCCTTTTTTCCCAACAAAACATAGAATGAAGACCTCTTTGACAATTTTCCCATCAGCTCTAATGCCAACAGAGCCTGAAGTTACACTCTGTTAACTACAGTCTGAAACTCAAGCATATCACTGCGTTGCAAACACCAGTTTATGCCCCAAAAGGCACCCTGACCTGTACATGTCGTACTATAACTCCCACTTGGGACTGAGAGCCAGCTGTGCCAAATACTTTCCTGTTGGTAGTAAATGTTTGCCCTGGATACTGTCTACAAACATTATGACTTCATTTTCAAATGAAAATGCTCTTTGATGATGTTACTTTATTGTAATCTTTCCTTTCCACCCCTCTCCTTCCTTCATTAAAACCTAAAGCCTGAGAGACCCACGAGAGCCAGCTCACCTTTGGCATCAAAGCACTGTGACAACCAGTACTTCCCAAAGACGACATCCATCCTTTCCCCATGTCTGCAGACAAACAGGCAGCGTTTCTGAGGCCCTGGCTGGCTGGTTATTCTCAGGGGCTGGAAGAAAAATTACAGGATGCTTGACCTTCATCAAAGTGCAAGGGGTTTTCTGAGCTCTGATTTACTAACAGGAGTCAGGACCAGGCACCTCTTGCTCTACCCTAGTGCAAATGCACAGCAAGCTCTTAAGTTGGTACATCTATACTGGCATAAAACTGCTGAGGTGAGCAGAGGATGGGGCCCTGCTGCCCTATGTTAAAAGTAGGTTTGGGGACACTGATGTCTTCTGTGGTTATCATGTCATTCAAAAGCTTGTAGAGAACTTTAACTTGTAACTCCTGATTCAGGCAATGAAAGGAGAGCATGTTGGGGAAAATTCAGTTGCTGGAAACTTGCCCCTAAAGCTGTGGGTGATCTATGTGTGTGTGTGTGGGTCTCTACCTGCACGTTCTGGCAGATGATAGTGAGTGGCCCCGTGTCACCAGGTCCTTGGTCTTCCTGCTGTCTTCTTTCCAGAGCTCCGTCAGTGAAGGCTTGAAGGGATGGGGAGGACGTAGTATTCAGAATTGAGTAGGACCTGCCAAAGATAGGAAGATATTGGCTTCAGGAATGCTTTAGACTTGGAGTGCTCGGGCTGCAGTAAGGACATTTCTGTAGTCTTCAGCAACTGCTGATCACTACTGTAGTCATGTTATTACATTATTATTTGTATGTTAGTACTGCCTAGTGAGCACCTTGCTAGGTGATGTACACACATGAAGAGACAAATCCCATCTCAACAGCCTTTCTGTTTCCTTAGATTAAGGCCAAACCTTCCTCGCAGCCACAGGATGCTCACTAACATCATCTGGGGACCAGCTGCACATTACTTACTATGGTCTTATGCACCAAAGTTTAGAAACTAATGGCTAGAAAGAGTTTTCACTCACCTTTCTAGCACAAGCTATTGCCTGAGTAGAAAGCTGGAGCACAGCCCTGCGTCTCATGGTGGGCTCACAAAGTAACTTGTATCCCCTGGCAGGGACATGGCACACCCAGTCTGGGTTGCTGTTTCTCTATTTTTCAGTGCTGTCTATTCTGTTTCCCATCTATAATAGGAGTTTATTCTCATCAGTGCCTCCTGTTAAGTGTAGCCAAAGGCATATAATAGATCCCACTCTCCCTAAAGGGGCCTATGGTCCCTCTGGATAAAGCTCTCATATCCAGACATTCAAGGACTTTGACCCAGGCCCTCAGGATTAAACTCTGACAGACGATTATAGAAGCTGCAGGGACCCTCTGCTGACTGTATGGGTTACATTTGCTTAGTCATTAAAAAAAACACTGTCAGATAATGTATATGGTTATTCACTTTGACAGAAATAGTTTCCACTGTCTGCACTTTTCAGTGCCTTAAATATGTCACAAGTTGCTTCCTGACTAGCACCTAGTTAGGATGAAATCTCAGAGGGGTTTCATAGCTGTTAAAATAACACCAAGTGTCTCCAACAGTAGAACAAAAATGGGTCATCTGCATTTTTGTTACGAACTGATCTTCTGTGACATCATATGATTTGAACCAGTTTAAGGATGGAAAGAAAGATACTACACTGTGGTCCTGATGTGGACCCTTATCTGGTGGATTTAGGGTGTGAGGCTAAGACTGAGATACCAGCTTATTTGGTCAGGTGAAGATATAGGTTTCCAACCTATAGCGGTGATCAGAGATCAAATGTTTCTCCTCACTGTTACCAGCACGTCCAGTCCTTGGCATGAGAAGAAATCATGCAGGGATGTGCTGCCTGTGCCAGCAAAGGAAATGTAGTTTAGGTGTACAGAAAATCCTTGGGGTCTGCAGGATAGGAGTGATACCATTCCTATTTTTAGTAGACATGGAAAGGATTCAGACCTGGAGTCTCTCAAGACACAACCTGGTTTCATGGGCAGTAGCTCTGCCTCAAAGGCAAAGCCTCTTCTGCCCTGTTAAATAGATCATCAAGCTTGTCTTCTTAGTGTGGCAGCCTATTGGTGTGCAGCTGAGGTACAGACCTTATTGTAGGGCAGGGACATCTTTTGTTGTATGTTTGTACAGTGCTGGCCAGGAAGGTCTGTGTGCCTGGCAGAGCTCTTGAGGCAATAGTTGGGTATAAAAGGCATGTCCTGCAAACACCACAGTTCAGCTTCTGCCTCACTTGAGCAGTGCAAAAGGGCAACCTTTTTAAGGTGAAATGCGCAGAACTAGCTATCTAATTTTTCTGTATTAGAGATTTCATCAAAATATCCCAGAATAGCATTTTGCCTGTCATACCCCTTGCGTGGTATAGGCAGGGTGCTGCAGCCCAGAGCGAGCTGTGTTTTTGTGATGATCTCAATAATGCATGATTTTCACTTGGAAGAATGCACTCTCTCTTGATTAGGAGGGAAAGCTCCATGGCTGTTACTTCTTTCTGTTTGATCCTCTGCAGGGATGGAACAGGACGGGCTGTCTGCACAGAGGCAGAACAAACCAGCCCTCAGGACCACAGCATTGCTCACCAGCAGCCTCAGTCCCAACACCATGAGCTGGATCCATCTGCTGCAGCGAGGCAGTTCTGTAGTCCTGGTGAGTACTGCCATGCTTACTTTCATGTCTATGAAATGAAGGTATCTCTGTGCCGTTCTTCTCTTACCACAAGGATCCTACTGTGAACACCATGGCCTAGACAGCAGCAGTGCTTAGGTTCTCCTTAGCTTGCGATATTGTTTTGACTACATGACATTCTGTAATCTAATATTCCCTGCAGGAAGCCGATGTGTAAAATGAGACTGTTTCCGGGTATGTAATAATGGTTTTGATAAATGCTCTGAATTGCATGCTCCAGTTGGTGTCTTTAGCAGTTAATCAGGGAAGGGGCATTTCCTTTCTTTGCTTGTCTGGAGGCAGAGGTGCTGGAGTTACAAAACATTTGGCTTTCCTTTTAGTTGCTGCTGAAATAGTAATTCTTTCCCATGCTAATCCCTGGGCCTCAAAACTCCTCCGGGCACTGTAAGAAACAATCCACTAGAGCAGGCTGCTGCAGTATATATGGTCCTGAGACCATTCTGGATGGCAAATTTTAGGGCAAGAAAGGATATTCTTGCTGTGTTGCGTATTGGAGGGTCTTGATTAACTCCTGTCTTCATACAAATACACTTACTGACTTTGCTCATGTGTCTTGATTCTCATTTGTTTACACCCTGGTTATTGGAGGCCTTTCCTATTCAAAAGGTGAGGTCTTGCATTCTCACTGAAGCCAATGGCAGGCTTCTCTAATCTTTCTAAGTATCTTAAGAAACACTGTTGACCCTAAGTCCTTTTCCCCCATGGAATTATACATAGAAGATCTCGCTTCCCAAATTAATGCTCAGATTTAAACCTTCCTGATCCTAGACCCACTACAGAGGTGTCTACACAGCAGTGGCTCTACTGTGGCCATCTGCTAACCAGCAGCAGTGATCCTGTGAGTTGCTGTAACATCTTAGCTAAATAAATCACATCGTCCTCTAATCCCATGCACGGGGATAGCATCTGCTCTTCCTTTGCTTATGAGATGGGGCTTTGTGTGCCAGTTTGTTTCTCCCAAGCGACCTTCTCAGCCTCTTCACTTACTCAGGTGAAATCACACCTGCTGTGATTTCCCTTTCACAGTGATGGAAACAGGACTGAGTAGCTTTACCTACCCATGAAACACCCAGGTCCCACATTCATCCGCCTTTGTGATGTAGTTTTCAGGCAGTAGCCCAGAGCAGCCAGTTGCAAGGGAAATGCCATAAATCCAGCCCTCACTTGTACTGGTTTGTTCCACTGGGGACATGAAAATAAAATCCCCTGGGACCAGCTCCAGTTCATCATCGTTCTGGGGGGTGTAAGGATAGATCACTTGCAGAGTCTGGGGGAGAAACAGAAGCAGAAATGAATGAAAGGATTGTTAATGGAAGGAACCTTTAGCTGAATGGGGCAGGAGCACTCCTAAACTGGACATTTAACCTTAGCAAGGTGTGAAGACTTCTCCTTGTAATGCATTACTTTGTACTTTATCCAGGAAAGCTTTACCTTCAAGGGAATTCCTACCACTTCCCACTCTGCTGTTTGAAAGCTTTACTCCTTCTTCCCTCTTTGATTCCAGTCCTATCTTTGATAACCAGGAGGGAAAGGGTGGGATTAATTTTTAGCACAAGCAAAAACATGACTGTGTGCTTAAATCTAAGTGCCTTGTTAAAAATGGAACCCAATTCTTACTGGGACCTGGAGTTTACATAGCTCTAGTGATTAATGACCGTTTTTGGTTTTCATACTCATGCTTGATCTGAAAGAGCAGTTCTCCTTGTTGCTGTTGCTTTTGGGGACGAGGCAGAGATGCCGTCAGGGTGCTAACAGGTTTGACTCTGTGACACTGTTTTCAAAACTCTTCATGAGAAAACACAGGTAAAAACAGGGGTAATGAGAAATGCTGGGATGTGGCCACCTTGTTTTCTTTGTATTTCTTAACACAAACAGGATTAAATACGAGATGGGGGAAAGATCAGTGGGTATAGTTCTGTAATCTTCGCTGGAGCATGAGAAATCCACATGTATTAAATGTCTGTCAGTAACTTTCCCTGGAAAGCAGCACCCCATTTAAAGGAGAACAAGCCTGTTATTGTCCCTGGCCAAACCTAATTTCTGCAACAGCCTCATGCCAAGAAAATCCATAATCTGCCGAGCACCTCTGATCTCCTGATGGTGTCAGCCCATTTGCTTACCTCCTAGACTATTTGTGGCATCTTCAAAGAAGGATGGAAACTAGTCACTGTCACCTGATAGCACAAGGCCAGAACTTTCACACATGGCTGCCTGAAGTCAGATATGCAAAGACGTGAGCTGGTTTTCATCAGTAACTCCCTTTGCAAACAGTGATGGTGTTGACTACTTGTGGCTTCTAAAGGACAAGATGACTCTTTGGATAGGAAAGGAGTGCTGTTAGGCATGGCGAGCATGGCCCAGGCTGGGTCAGAGCGCTGTGCATGAGAGACTTCAGCTCTCCAGAAACTTTGGCATCTGTTTGTGTGTCTGACTGTGGACAATGTGCTTTGGTGGGATTAATCATCCCAAATTTAAGAGTCTGGTTAGCTGCCTGAGCAGGGACCTTCTGGAGGTTCCCTCCTCCAGAAGTTGATTCATCTCATCCTGAGACAGACATCTTAGATGGGTCAGATGACTCACTTTCTGGAGGTGCCTATTTGTCTGCACAGAGCCTCAGTGCGAAGTTAGACCTTTAAGTAAAAGGTCTAACTTGGGGATATTCACAGGGAGGGGAGATGAATCTCGTGTGTGGTTCCTCTATGCTCAAGATCCCAATCTATAAAATGAAAATAATGTACATTTTATTGGAAAACAGCATTATTAAGAAAACTATATTAGGACACTTTGATACTGCAGTTACTGAATACATGTGAGTAATTGAAGTATATAGGCCATGAGGATAAACGTGATGAAAATAAATGCTGTGATTAGTAATAATATCAAGTCTGTACAGAAGAAATGGATGGCTGTCAGTTTAAGATACCAGCCTGATTCTTAAGAGATCAGACCAGCTTACATTGAGCTAACAAGAAAGTCATTGTTAGAATTAATTGACCCAGAAGGATATTTCTCCTACAAGAAACAAGATAGGAGGTGGTGAAATAGCAAGTCCAGACATGATGAATAAACAGCAAAAGAAAAGGCAAGATGGTCTAAGATGACTGGTGGGACATGGGAGATCTATATTCTGGGTGTCCTTGCGGGACCTAAGGCAAACTCCTTAATGTCTATCTAGTCCACACTGTGTATTTGTGCATGGGAGTCCTCATTGAGCTTGCAGCTCGAGAGCGCTCTTGAGCTGCAAATGCAGCTACAAAAGCCTCAACTCTGCTGGGTTCTTTGTGGGGGGACTGAAACAAGCCCCAGCAATTTACCTCGTGGTTAACAAAGCGTATGTCTCGAGAGAATATCGCGGCAACCCAGTCACAACCCAGCTTGACGTCGATGTTCTGCGCTAGCTTCTCCAGCGTGGGCAGGTGGCTGGTCTGGAAGTGATAGGCCAGCGTCACATGGAGCTGCTTCTTGTGGGGCTCCACATGGACATCTGCAACAAGGAGACGCCAGTTAACAAGTACTGTCAAGATCAGCAGCTTTTGGAAGGTGTAGGGGTGTCTATCGCCTCTGAGGAGGGGCTGGGAGCTCAGCTCTTAAAGATAGCACAAGTGGAACAAATTGTACGGCTGCCTCTGAAAAGGCTTTGGGGAAGTCAAATGTGAGCTCCCTGTACGTGTTGCACCTTGGATCACATCATGAGACATCTGGGGTCTGATTCAGGCCTGAGTCACACCTGGGTGGTAGAAAAGGCATCCGCCATTTGCATGCAGAAAACAACGGCTTTCTGGGTGGTGTGACATCAATTATTGTCATTTTGAACCCACTGGGTCTTCTGCCAAGAAAGACACTTCTCCAGCAAAGGTGTCAGCTTTGTCATTAACACCTTTCCAGAATAAGCAAGGTTAAAAAGCCTGATTTTTGCTCTCCCTCCTTTATTCTATGGTTACAATTATAAATCCATGGAATTTGCAGTTGCAAGTTGATTAAATCTTTTCCCTGGACATTAACTGGATTGCCAGTTTACCCACTGAGGGTGAGGTATTCCAGAACTGTGGAAACAGACATTGATATGATAATGATCCTGCAGAAACAGAACCTGTATTGGGAAAAGATTCTAGGAAGCAGAAAGGTGAAAGTATGTGAAACACTGGCACTCTTCCAGTCAATGTGGAAATCATGGGATACATTGTTTGCATGCAATTTATTCTTGCTTATTCAACCAAAAATTGCAATTAAATTTGACTGATTATTCAGTCAAAATTGCAGCTATTCAGAGGCTTGGCTCCAAGTGCCAGCCAGGGGTAGCTGTGCGAGCTCATCCATCTCTTT